GTCCCGCCCACCCCTCGGGGACCTTCCGAGGCCGGGGCTCCCTGGACTGAGGAGATGCGGGCTGCGTGGGGCTGCATGAGGCCGCGGTGCCCTTCCTGGACGCCCTTGCTGGGGCCTCCTCTACCTGCCCGGCCCTCTGGGCACGTTTCCCTGCCACAGAGGGGGCCAGCTCTGCAAGGAGACCCGCCGCCAGGTGTGCAGCCTTTGGCAGGGGACAGCACTTCCGTGCCTGGGTTTCCTCATCTCCAAAACGAGGATGGCTTTCATCACGCCACTGGGGCTTGGGGATCATCTGAAGGGGCCACCCCTGCAGGGCGCTTGGAGCATTTTCCCTGGCCCGTGACAAGGGCCGATAAAGGCAGCGGCGCGTGTGCATGTCCAGATATTGGCAAAGTGCATGCAGCTGCCATTTCATCCCACCGCCTCTCAACAGTGAGCTGTCTTAAAACGTGCACCCCAAAATAAAGACCGTGCACACCACCCACTGAACACATTGAGCTGGTGCACACAGACCTCCGGGAGTACGTCTGTGCCTAGAGATTTTAGAAAGTTAGCACTCAAACATCAACAAAAATTTAAGTGATCTGTCGTATCTTCTAATAAAGACGCTACCGCCTTCCACATGTAGCAAGGAGCATTTACGCTCAAACATACACAATCAAACACCCTTAAGATCTTTCCCCTTTAGAAAATGTTTCTGGAATTATTTTATTTGACACATGTTAGAAACCACACTGATGCCACTAAGGGATAGGAATTATGTCATTTGAATGTGCTCTGCCAAAATAACACACTTTTATTCAAAGTTTTAAAGGGAGAATATGCAGCAAGGGGTAGGAATCATTAAATCTACTTCTGTCTCACACTATGGGTGACTGTAATTTACCGTGATTTGTCATTTGAATATTAAGAAACAATTATTTGAAACTCATGAGTGAAATGTAATAGAAAAATAAGAACCAGAGTAGTCTAAGTTTGGCTGAAAGCTTACATTTCTAAACATTAAAGTATGTAAAGGATAAACAGTCTAAACATTTCTTTATTCATTATTTTCAAAACACAAGTTATTTCTGAATTGTACAGAAGATATGTTTGTAAACAGAAATTCCTCCCTGCTTCTTTATATAAAGATTTTTCAGAGATTTGCCAAGAGCATGTCTAGAGACATAGCCATGTAAGTACATGTTCCAGAACAGAGTTTGTGAAGTAAAAATGCTGGCACACTTTTACGAGCATATCTCATACATACACACACACACACACACACACACACACACACACACGCGCGGCTCCTGGATGAGACTCTCTCTGCAGACGACCTCTGGGGACACGCTGTGCAGAGTGCTGTCCTACTGCTCCCTATTGAAAATATTTGCTTCCCATCATGTGTATTTAGAGCACAAATTAAAAGACATAAAAACATTTTAAAACCAGAGTAAGATAACTGATTAGTTGGCCCTTTTTAAGTATCAATTTATTCTTGAAAAAACAGCACAGGATTTTATGGCCTTGGGTTTCAGCATCGATGTGAAGTTACTATTATTGAGATTTCTGTTTTAATCTTCGGAAGTTGGGGTTTGCCTACTGGTAAGTTAGGCCCCCCAATACTAAAAGTTTGGGCACCTCTCAAAAGTAACTAGACATGTCACTAGACACAATTTCTAATCATCTGTAATAACATTAGACTAGCTTTTCCTTTGCTAATTCAGCTTGTTAGATTTCAATTCTATACAGAATTATGGAAATCTAAACACCAGGTATTTTACAAGCCGAGCTGTTATCTAGAGAACTGCTTGGCAGCGTTCACAGCTGAAGGGGCAGATTCAAGTACTGTCTGAAATTTTCTCTTCTTTGGAATTATTTTCTGTAATTCCCACAGTAATCGCTGGCAGGTTCTCCAGAACTACGAGTGTTTCATTTGCCGGGGGTCCTCCCCGCTCCCGCCCTCCTGTCTCTCCCTGCACCTGGAGGGGCCTGGCCTGCTCGGCCACCACCTGCCGTCGGGGGGGCAAGCCTGTGCCCGAGCAGCCGTGAACGCAGCGAGAAACCAACCGTGGAACCAAGGGGACTCAATGTCTGAGGTGGAAAACGGCGACCCCAGCGAGGCATGGCCTTGAGGACGCAGTGACAAGTTCTCCGCTCCAAGGGTCTCCACGACAAGTATGCGTGTATAAAGAACTAATATTCCAAATTTGAAATGAGGAAAGAGTCCACTACAAAATAGATGCAAAACACTGGTTATAAGGATGCCCAAGGAACTGAGTGAGGACCTCAGCAGCATAAAAAGATGCAGGCAGAAACGAAAGATACACTAACCGAAATAAAGACCAGTTTACAGGGGAACAACAGGAGAGCGGATGAAGCCGAGAATCAAATCAATGATTTGGAGCATAAGGAAGCAAAAATAAGCTATCAGAACAAGGAGAAAAAAGACTCCCCCAAAATGAGGACAGTGCAAGTGCCTCTGAGACAACTTCAAGGGGCCCAGCACTGGCGTCAGAGGGGGGCCAGAAGGAAAGAGGAAGAGCCAGTGTGAAAACATGATAAAAGAAAACGTCCCTAATTTGGTGAAGGAAATGGACATGCAAGCCCAGGAAGCACAGTCCCAACCAAGATGGACGCAAACAGGCCACTCCGAGACACGTCACCATTACAATGTGCAAGGTTAAAGATACAGACAGAATCTTAAAAGCAAGAGAAAAGAAGTTAGTACCTACAGGGAGTTTCCATAAGACTGTCTGCTGATTTCTCAAAAGAAACTGTGCAGGCTGGAAGGGACTGGCAGGAAATAGTCCAAGTCATGAAAAGCAGGGACCTCCAGCCAAGATGGCTCTGCCCAGCAAGGCTGTCACTTAGGATCGAGGGGCAGACACAGAGCTTCCCAGACGAGAGGAAACTAAAGTTCACCATCGCCAAACCATTATCATATGAAATGTCAAAGGGACTTAAGAGAAATAAGAACAAAACTATAAACAAGAAAATGGCAAAAAAAAAAACCAACCCTAAACAAACCCCAAAACACTTCTATCAACAATTGAATCTAAAAAACTAAGCAAACAAGAACAGAGACAGCATCATGGATAGAGAGCGTTTTTATTGTTGCCAGATGGGGGGGCTGGCGGGGGGATGGGCGATGAGGTGAGGGGATTAAGAAGTACAGACAGGCAGTTACAGAGTAGCCGAGGGATGTGAAGTACAGTGTAGGAAACGGAGCGGCCAAAGGACTCACACGCATGACCCATGGACGTGGACAAGGGCGGAGGGACGGCCTGGGGGAGTGGGGGTCCTGGGTGGAGGGGGGCAACGGGGGAAAAATCGGGACAACGGTAATAGCACAATCAATGGAACATAATTTAAAAAGAAAAATAGGGTTGCCATAGTAATTTAGACATTCTGCCTTCTTTAGAAAGCTCTCCAGTCAACTTTTTACATTTGCTAAAAGGTAGACTACAGTCGCTCCTTCACCCTCTTTCTCTCTCTCTCTCTCTCTCACACACACACACACACACACACACACACACACACGCACGAGTCAGGGAGGGTGAGAGGTTCCTCTCAGGCCCGGCTGCAGACTAGATCAGAGCTGGAATTAGACTCCCATCTCAGTCCCCGGGGCCAGCCAATGGCTATTCTAGACCCAGAACCACCCCAGGGCAGGACTGCTGGTCGCTGAGCTGGGCATCAGTTTCTGTTTGGTGGGCTGCCGCCTGCCGCTGCCCCCCGACCCCGGCTCCCCCCAAGTACAAGGAAACACCTCCTGCACCTTGAGTCTCCCTGCCGGTTCCCGCCCCAAGACCCACTGCAAGTTCCCCAACCTCTCCGGGTCCTTTCCTCACCTAAAGTGAGGGTAGCACTGCGGATCTCCAAGAAACGGTCCGTTCTAAAAATCCTGCTTTTCATCTTCTGCTTTCTGCTTCGGTCTCAGAGCCTGGATGTTCGCTAGGTGGCAGGGTTCCACCGCCACACTGTGAAGGGACGGCCTGACGGAGGCCTGCGAGCAGGACATTTCAAAGAGACTCCTCTCTTCCCCCCGTGAACATTGAGAAAGAAAAAAGCCCAGGGTGGAAAAACAACTACAAAGCCCAGCGGGCCATGCACTTCATGAAGATCCAGACCGATTTTAGTACAAATATAAAACATGAAATGAATCCAATGTGTTCTTTCATACAATGTAGTGCTAACAGCAGATAAGCGCCTCCTCCCTTTGATGTACTTTCAAATTTATTTCAGCCGCGTCTCAACTGGACACCAAGCAGATCCCCTCAAGCAAACTGGTAGCATAGTAAGCTAAGAGGCAAGCAATCCAACAGCAACAAAAGCACCGAGCACATGAAAAAGCATTCTTCGGTGTGTTTCAAAGTCACCCCTAAGTCACTTCCAGGATATCTGAGTGTCGGAGCGTCTTCTGAGCACTTCCTCAGGCGAGTGCACAGGAGCCGAAGGGAGTGCTCGGATGTTCGCATTAACTGGTCAAATCCTAAGTGAATATTCTCTCAAATCGATGTTACGACATCCCTGTAACTGTAAATATCATTGCCCCCAGCTGGCCTTTCCAGGACCGCGGCACCGTGAACGCCAGCTCCGACCCTTCCTGAGAGTCCGCGCAGCCGCCAGGCGGTGGGCCCGGCCGGGCGGGGCGCAGCGGCTCGCAAACCGACGCAGACCGCCCCCAGCTGGAACTTCTAACGCTGCCCACGAGGCCGTTCCCAGGTGTCTGCCGGTTGTCGGGAACCTGATGATCTAGGTTTTGTTCAGCTGATAAGCATGACACTTTCTCCCCCACCAAGTCCTGGTTGAATATGTACACGGCTCTACTTTCCCCCCCGAGTTTCTTCAAGCAAACAAGCCCAACGTCCTAAAGAAAATTCGTCGACAGCCCCGAAGCCGAGCGAATCCAGACTTGTGAACCGGACGCCATCCACAGACAGGTTGCTTCTCGCCCCCTCCCCCACGCCCCCCGCCCGCCCGGCGCGGCGCGGACGCCCCTCCGGAGACCCTACCTTGGCCACTCGCAGGGGCTGCCTCTGCTCCTTGCCGCCCTGCAGGCGGAAGCCCCAGGGCGCCCCTCCGGTCATGGAAACGCAGATGAAGTCCCCCGTGCCCATCCTCTCGCCGCCGCTGGGCCGCACGCAGGCTGGAGGAGAGCGAGCGAAGCCGGCGGCAGGCGGCGGAGGCTGCGCGCTCGCTGGCTCGCCGGCTCGGAGCGCCCGCAGGACGGACCGGACGCGCAGCCGGCGCCGCGCTAAAGGGCCCGCGCGGGCGCGCCGGCGGCGACCCAGCCCACTCCTGCGTCACGGCCTTCGCTCGGCCCCTCGGCGAGGGCGGGCAGCGCGCGCGGGGGACCGGGCCGTGCGGGCAGGGTCGGCGGCGAGCCCAGGGCGGAATCTGGCACTTGACTGAAACAGGGTCCGCAAAGCTGTCATTGAGGAAATAGCAGAGGCCACGGGAGGGCTTGAACCTCCGGGCCACGAGCGCCGTCCGAACGGGGCGCCCTGAGAACCCAGCCGCTGGAGGGCTCCTCTCTCCAGCAAGCGTTTTCGGAGTCACCACACTGATGCGCGAAACGGACAACCGGAGCCAACGTGGGTTTAATTGTTATTTTCCTAAACTTTCCTGTCTGCAGCCTGTGCAGCCATCCTCTTAAGAAATAAAAGAAAGCAGAACATTTATTTAAAAAAAAACCAAAAAACCCTATTTGGAAACGCAGCCTTCTGAACTGTATTATATATACACATATATTATGTGTAATAGGTGTAGTATTTTATATATTTGTACACACACACACCTGGAGGAGGGAGGATTTCCTCCAGGAAACCACATTGTTATAACTACACCCACTGCACGGTTTGGAGTATTTTAAATTTAAAGAAGTATTTCACTTGAAGGCGCTCCCTGCACCTGAGTGACAACGGCACCTGCAGGTGTCTGTGTCGCAGCCTCTCGTCGGCTGTTCTGAATCTGAGGCATTCGACCTAAACGTTGATTTCACAAGTGATCCAAACTATTTGAGTGTTTTAAATCTACCAAGATGACACACATGGAGCGTTTTTATCTCCGGGAACATTCACCCCCACGAAGGCACGCCTGACAGGGCCTGGGAGCCGGCGCCCGCGGGGCAGCAGTCACAGGTGAACACGTGCGCACACGCCGCCCGCGGGGCCCGCAGCCCGGGCCTGTGACGGCTGTGCCGACGTGCGTTCATTGGAGGAGGAGGAGGGGAAGAGGCCATCGCTGACCCTTTAAAGGTCACGAAGACCAAACCCTCTGAAGCTTGGGTCTCTTCAGAATGCTGACCTGACTTTACCAAACTCTTAAAAAAAAAATGACTTTTACAAGTGACCTCCTAAAATATGAACTCTAAGAACTAAAGAAAATAGCTTTTTACATTGGTGTGCACCACTTTCTCCTGTCTCTGCTGCTCCCCGGCCGCTCCGCCCGCTCCGGTCCCTGTGGTGAGAAGAGCTCTGGGCAGGGCCACCTCGGCCCCAGGGGCTTCTGCAGGGACTTGGCACCGCCCTGTGGCCGCCGGACGCGCTTCCCCGGCTCCTCCTGCCCCGCCACCGCCGGTGGAGCTTCACCCTCCCCCTCAGGCTCCGACTGCGTTCCTGAGCTCGGGGCCCCTATCTGACGGCCAATCACGCCTGTTTTCATGGGACTGTGGCGCAGAGACCTAAAGCGCAATATATTCAAAATCGAGTTCCTTATTTTTCCCCAAATTCTGCTTCCCCTGGGTTCCCCATCTCAGGATAACAGTCTAACTCTTTACCTTTCTCTTACGTCAGGTTCCCGTCGAGCCTGGCTTAAATTTAAACGTGGTGCTGGAGGCTGGAACTGGGGCAGCCTTCTCGCGACCGTGAGGGACAGCTGGGGACAACTACAAAGACTCCATCCAGTCCTGACTGAATTAGTGCCAGCAGCTGTGCAAGAAAACGAACCCGTATTTGCTCAAAAGGCTGTCGGACCCGTTGACTGCTACTCGTAGCCAGTACGCTCCCCACGGCCGTACTCCACAAGCAGCTTTTCAGCCGGCCAGGTCCCCGAGACGGAGAACTGGGGACTCAGTCATCGCTCTAACTTACGGAGGCTTTGCTCTGTCAGGAGACGGACGCGCAGGGTTTTACTTGTCCTCAACGCAGCCCCGCTCGGTGGTTCTCAGTGCCACCCTTTGGCTGGTAACGGGCTCAGCCTGGAGGCAAAGCAGGGATCAGGGCTTGCACGTGCTCCGTGCTCGGGGATTTCCTGCTGCTCGCCCTCCGCGTCCTGTTCGCCCGTGGAGACCGGGCCACCGGACGGCGGCCCGTCACCCCGATCCCACCGCTGCGGCCGCCTCTGTCCACCCGACGCCGACGGCCCCTGACTCGCCCCTCCGCCTCGGCCTCGTTCCCGCCCCCGTTCACTCGGGACTCCCCCAGGGTGGTGTGCCCGAAGCGCCGCCGCATCTGTCCCGTCCTCCGCTGAAGCCTCTCACGGCCTCAGCACAGTCAGGCCCCGTCCAGAGCTAACACCTCCCGCCTGCCACTCCTCACGTCTTCTCCCACCTCCTCTCTCACCTCGAATCCTTTGACTCAGACACACCGAACCACCTTCAGTTTCCCTAATTTGCAAAAAAGCCCCACCTGCTCAGGCTGTCTTCCGGGCCACGCACGGAGCACCTGACGGCCCCTCCGCACCCCGCTGGCCTCAGGGCAGAGGTCGCGCTCCCCGGGAGGCCTCTCCCGAGCCCGCACTGCATCAGGGCCCCCCCCACATGCCGCCTCACCCATGCCGCCGCCTCAGCCCACGGCCACTCAGACTGTCCGAGTCACTGACCCTGTCAGATGAGGGGTCATTTCTGACGTATTCAGCATTGCATGCCCAAGTCAGACACATTCTTGACATCTAATTGGTGCTCAGTTAACATACGTAGAATAAAAGGGTAGATGCGTTTCCCGAGAAGGAAGGTAGAGAAAAGAGATGCAAAGAGTTCCAATTTCTCTTCTTTTTCTCCGGGTCATTTGACCAGGGAGAGTCTGAGCGAAACCCCGGCTGTGCCGCCCTGTGAAGGGGCGGCGGCCTCTCTACCCGGTGCCCCGCCCCCACTGGGAAGCGGCCACTGCGGTAGGCGGCGCGGAGGCCTTGGCTTTCCGACCAGGTCCGTCGGCGTAACCTTTTCTCCTTAACACAGATGAGTTCAGGAGGCGACGCTGAGCCGTCTCTCAAGGTTGCATTTGCAACAAGCGACCTTGGGGAAGTAGTTACGTCTCAATCGGGGGCAAAGCCCAAGTTTGCTGCCTGATTGTTGGCAAAACAAACAGACAAAAACAAAATAAAAGCAGTGGATCCCTGAGCTTAGTGATCCTTAACTGCTGCGCGGTCCCACCGTGTGTACAACCGTCTTACGTGTCATGTCACTGTTATGGAGTCTGCAGAGGATGAAGTGATGTCATGCTCTTGCCGGGCCCTGAGTGACCACGTCCTTTGTCTCTGACCCAGGAGTCTCATGGAACAGTTAACGGGCTGACTTGACCTAACGGGGGGTGAAATCAAACCCGAGACCCCGCGGGGGAAACAGACGTTGCCCGGGAAATGGAGGTAGGGCCCCGGTCGCCCAGCTCAGGCCCCGGCGCCTTATTTGATCTGGGATTTAAGAATCTAGCCACGAGCAAAAAGAGTTATTTTGTTAAGGAAAACATGAGTGTCGTAGGAGATTTAGAAAATGGTCTTCTTAAAGAAACTACTTCCACGCCACTTAAATGATTTAACAATGTATCAGATGCTCCGCTTTAAACCGCCATTTGCTCATTCACTTGACTGTTAACACAGCCTGCGTTGGCGATGCTGCGGGGCCATCCTCCCAGCGCAAGTGGCAATGGCTTTGCCGTGCGGAGTCCCGCCTCCCGTTTGCCAACGCACAGCAGCGGTGAAGCGCAGGCAGGGAAGAGCCATAGGCACAGCGAGCTCTGCCGGTGCCTGTCCTTGCTCTCCCCGCTGCGATGCGTGGCAGCCTCACAGACAGAAACATCCCGTGAGGGCAGATTCGTTCTATAGTCACTTCGCATCGGCCGCCTAGGCTTGCCTGGCGCCTCTCTTTATTTTGCTAAATCTGTTTTTCACTCAAAAACATCATGACTTTCCAGGTTGAGCTAAGGTCTGTGATCTCTTTATAACCATTCAAAAACCTGGGAGTTATTCTTCATTATGGATGACACCGTGCCCTTCTGCGAAAATAAAGCATTGCAGCAAAAGGAATAGATATCGTAAAATTACGTGGAATTTAAAATGACTAAAACTGGGAGAGCGCAGCAGCATTTCAAGATCCAAACCAAGCCTCAGCCTTCGTTCCTTTGAGGCATCAGAACTTGGTGCTTGTCAGCTTACTAGAGCTAGCCGCAGCGTCAACGGGCCAACAGAACAGAGACACATTCAGACACAGCGAGCAGGCGGGTGGTTACCAGGGGTCCTGGGGGACTGGACGGGCTGTGGGGCGGGGGGGGGGGGGGGGGGCGGTGCTGGCGGCCGCAGCGCAGATCCTTACCATGCCCTTAAGTTGGAGGCTGTAGCTGAGCCAGAACAGAAGGAGACGCCAGCGTTCCCAGGTCTGTAAGGCACACACTCATGAAATGGCCGCGCCAGGTGTCCCCAAGGCGAGGAAGCAAGGGAGGCACCTGCGGCCCCAGCAGCTCAGACCAGCACACGCTGCCCCATGAGCGCGGCCTCGCAAGGGCAGCAGGGTCTTTGGAGGGAGGCAGGGGGGCGAGAACAGAGCACCCAGCCCCTCTCTTGCACATCCTGCAGCCACGGCCTGTCATGGGCAGTTCAGTGACCGGCACGGGCAGACGCCGGGGGACCCGCCACTGTGCGGAGCCACAGCACCGGCACACACTTTTCCACCAGCCCGGGAGATGGGAGACCAGGGCTGGAGGAAATGGACCAAGTGGTCAAACAATATTCTCCAGCTGATTAAGGGGGTGTTTATTCACTCTTGAGTTTATCGTTCATTCATTCAAAAGTCACTGGAAAGCTGAGTCTGGGCAGGGCAGCGCTGAGCCTTGCTGCCCCCCCTCCCCCGCAACGGCCCCCCCCCCGCCCCTGGGCCCTGCTGTCCTGGGGCCCAGGCGTCACCGGGGAAGCCGGACAGTAAATAGGCACACCCGGGAGCCTCGGAGGGAAACGCCGGCGGACA